AAAACTCTCCGACGTCTTTGTGCTTGAAAATTTACACGGATAATTGTATTATCGGAGTTGGTTAAAAACAGATAAAGAGATGTGTTACAATGTTTGAATGACCTAGCACAGGTTGCAAGTTTTTCTGCAGTATGTGCTGATCGCATCGAAGTATGTAGGGTTGGAACTGGAGCAATGTTGCCGCATCGCTTCGCAATTAGAGGCAAGGTCCCGGCAATTTGCGTCAGTGGTTGAAATGGAGGACTGGACTTCAGCTGCAAGGTTGAACAAAATCATATTTGCTCCCAAAAACAATTTGTTAGTTCAAATTTCCGTTTTTTGTTGAGAATTGAAAAGTTTACAGATTTCTAATCTACTAGTGTCTGTGTCTTTACCACAAGAATTATTACTTCTCGATGTCGATGATGATGACTGTAGTTGATGGCACATATTGCAAGTCCTTGGACATGTGGATAGCATAAGGTCCTTCTGAGCTTCCTCTTCACATGCACTTTTTAGCACTGAACAAACTTTTTGGTTTTTATCCATGCAGCTGGTGTAACTCGTGTCATTGCACAGACCACACGATCGTGGACAATAATTAGCAGCTAAAGACGTGAACTGGTCGTCTGTACAAAATGAAGCTCTTTTTAAATCTTCGCACTTCATCTTTGTACCTGAATCAAAAACTTGTTACCAGACTTTTCACTTTTTTACTGAATTTATCGAAGAACAGATTAACATATAAAAGAACAAAAATAAATTACTAATTTACTAGGAAGGAAAACCAGGTAAAAAACTTTCTTATAACTGTTACCGTCAACGTTATCTGAGCAGTTGTATCGAGGGTCCTCACAACAGGTTTGACACGTAGAAGGACACATTTTCGCTATAGGTGAAAACGCTTCCTGAGTGCATTTGTCTGGCGGGCTGCAATTCAGTAATGATAACAATCTTGATGACGAGATATACTTGTGCACTTGTGCGGGTAAACTTCTATATTGAAATTCATTTACTGTTATGAAAAAAGTTTGACGTTCATTATAAAACAAGTCCGCAGCGCCTAAAAGGCACTAAATTCACAGAAAATTCTTGTTCTACTAAAGTTTCAAATCTTAACTCGTCAGATTTTTGTCCAAATACGGTTTCGCAAATCACTGCATTATCGTCATCACAGTTAGTTGCGACACTTTTTTCACAGGTTGCGTAGGAAGAACCAACAAGGCATATTATTAAAATTGCAGTCAGCATAGCGAAGCAGCTAAAAAATTTTATTGATGTTAAGCATCTACGCTAGTCAGCTCTAGTTCACAGCATCGCATTTTAAGACTCAAAGTAGTTTTCGTAGCTTCATGACTGCCGAATAATAAGATCACTTTGTCAATAGGCTTTTTAATCAGGAAAGGTGTACCTGTGGAATGAAAAAGATTACAGCGGTACTATGCAAGGTAAAACGGCAGATCCGATACTACTGGAACGTTTATGCGCCCTGTTTATATAACACCAAAACAACAGGTGCTGATTTTTTGCACTCAACAATATTTTATTAAAATTTGTGCTCTTTGAAAAACGCTGTTTAGATTGTTCAGCTTTAATTAACTGCAGTCAAGATGATAACAACGAAAAACTTTGTGTTTTTAACTGGTCCACAAAACTGCACCAAATAGATTGAAAAAATGATAGAAAAAAGATGGAAAAATTGTAAGGATGGTAAACAAAAATACATTCTTTTTTTTATCTTTTTAATAAACTTTTAGTTACCGAAACCTCAAAAAACACCTTGCAGTCAAAAAAAGCAACGGAATGAAAGCATAAGTTGTAGAAAAAG